ACACAATAGATTGACGGAAATTATTTATTGAATGTTGTTCGTGTAAATACCGTAAATGACCGAAGCGTATTGAATTTCTTATTTGTTTGTAACTGCGTTCTAAATTTCTTATCTGACAAATTTCATTGTTCTCGTAAGTGTAGACAGAATTCATTTTGATAAATCTATTTACATAATTATATATGTCGATGGGGAAAAGAAAAACACTCTAAATTATATTTAACTTTCAACATTCGGAAATCGACCGATAAAGTGTAAAATGATGCAATTTCGACTGTAATGTCGAGCGTAGTAAATGACAATTACGCGAACGGCGGAATAAGAGCAACGTGCATTCACATTAAAACGATGTATTACGATTGAAGATTTGATTATTGCACACGGCACGGGTAATTACGTTCTGCCTGACGCACACGGCTTTATTCGCGGCGAGCGCAAAATGCAATAAAATATATTATACAATGTGAAGCGCGGGGGATTTATCCGCGGATTACATTATCCATCACGGTCGAAAGATTAAATCTCCATAAATTATTCGTTGTACCAACGATATTCATTAACGGCGCGGTTCAAATAGCCCGCGAAGTGTTACAACGGTAATGTGCGGTAAGCGGTTACCACACGCGGTATCTGCCGCGAAATATCATTTTTAACGAAATTGTATTATTACAACAATTTCTATAAGGACTTTTCAATGGGAATGATTAAACCGCAGTGCGGTTAAAATAATGAAGGAAGTCAATTTTCTTACGTTCATCGTCAATAAAACTTCGATCGTAGTGTTGATCCACTTGTTAGAAGCCAATACCGGAGATTTATAGTTTCAGGCGGGATCGATCGATCCGCGCGACAGCAATTTTCTACATATATCGCAATAGCGCATGCCGTAATAACGTTTTTATTGGTAGGAGATCGCTTGGAATCACTCCGCGCCTTACCGAGGGCTTCATCGGGAATTGAGCACCGGCTCTTGTGGATTTTCTACTTGATTTACAGAGCGGCGAGGCGTACGCTGGCGAGAAACGGAGAGAGAGAGAGAAAGAAGGAGCAATCGATGATGTCACGCACTTGCGGTTGATAGCCGCAATCTCTCCGCGAGGTGCGCCGGCACGATCGACATCCGAGATTCGGACTTGGCCGAGGCTCTGCGTTGCATCGTGTTTTATAGCGCGTTTTACTGCGTGTGCTGCGGCTGACCAGTGGTCTCCTTCTGTCTCCTTCTCTCTCTCCCTACAATGTCGCAGATCCTCCTCGCTCCTCCGGTCGCCTCTCTTTTCTCTGTAAAGGAGGCACGACCAGCGGAGCAGGGTCATGGCCGGACATCGTCTGCCGTATTCTCCCTCTCTCTCTCTCTCTCTCTCTTTTTTTTTGTTCGATGCTCTACACCCACACTATACGTCTGTTTTACTCGCGTACGATCCATTCTCCTTCTTCTCGCTGCACTCTCGTAAAGCTGGATTTTACTGTGCGCCGAATATGAGCCATCGCGATCTCTCTCCAGAAACGTCCCGTTCGCGTTTCTCCGCGATCGAATAGATTTGCAAGAGACTTTTTTCGACGAAAATTACGAGTGCAGAAACATTGCCATGCAATTTACGGTGGCGTGTGTCACGGCGTATCTATTTTTCAGAGGGTATTTTACTACTAGAAAATATCTTCCGGTTGAGAATATCGACATTGTTAGGATTTCAATAAAATAAATAAGAATAAAGGTTGTGATTAGGTATGGATATAGGAATTGCTACGAGAATAGTAAAGTAATTACGAACATATAGTATCTCAGGAAGTGAAGGACTTCATGTTTGAATCCCGATAGGTTTCTTCAATTTCTCCTTCTCTTACAATATGGAAATTACTTGAAATTGGAAAATCTACACATACAGACACACACACATATACATTGCAGACTGTTTCATGAAAAAAAAAAAAAAGAATTTTGTGATTTTTTGATTGTCTTTATTACAAAATAAAAAATGCATCTTAGATACGAAAATAATAAAAATAATATTTACTGATGTAACGTTTACCAAAAAGTTACATCATGCGATATTGTTATATTAAAAAAGTATACATGTACACGCACACACAGAAGTCTATATATGTATATATATCGCAGAGAACGCCAGAGTGGTTTTGCGGCTTTTGTCGCGCTATCACTTTTGACGTCAAAGGCGTACGCTCGAGGCATTGCGCAAAATTGAGAATCAAGGTGTTCAGATCTTTCGCTCCTTGGACTGAACCAAATGGAATATTTTAACGATGATTCACGACGGGACAATGACCTCGCGATCAATAATATCGTCATTCTTCTCAATATGATTCAATATCCAAGGAAAATCAAAAGTCTCCCTAATATTCAATAATTAACCCCTTCGAAATAGGGCACTTTCAAAAATACAATTCATATTCTTACCTATTAATTACTTTTATCCTAAGCTAATTTTACAGTGGGTGTGCAACTCGATACATTCGCTGTTACATGATGTTTTCCTTTCTATTGAAACGGTCTGTATATGAATTATTTGCGACGCGTAGGAAATTAATCGTTCTAAACACAAGAATTAAAATGTCACGCGCGGATCCCTCGCGTATTTCTTGTGCCGAGCCGAATTATTCCCTATCGCAACCACGTGTTGCACTACAGAATTCTAGTCGAGACACTATCGACCGACTTTGCTGCGCATACCTATTTCAACTTTCAGCCAAGACAGTTCAGTGAACGGATAGTTTTGAGGTTTTAAGTACCATTATATCAATAACGAAGTACTTCAGTTACTTATAATATGAATAAATGAAGGATTTTTTTTTATTTCGATTTTTAGGCATTTTTTTTGACAATTTTGATCATTTATAGATAATATAAAAAATAATATTTCTAATCTATACATGAATATATGAAATAGCAAACTTCTTATTCGCTTATTATTTTTTTTGTTTGTTTTTTTGCGTTCGCTTTTAATCATTTATAATATAAAAAATAATATTTCTAATCTATATATGAATATATGAAATAGCAGACTTCTTATTCGCTTATTATTTTTTTTGTTCGTTTTTGATCATTTATAATATAAAAAATAATATTTCTAATCTATATATGAATATATGAAATAGCAGACTTCTTATTCGCTTATTATTTTTTTTGTTCGTTTTTGATCATTTTTATAATATAAAGATAATATTTCTAATCTATACATGAATATATGAAATAGCAGACTTCTTATTCGCTTATTATTTTTTTTGTTCGTTTTTTGCGTCCGCTCTTGATAATTTATAATAGAAAAAATAATATTTCTAATCTATATACGAATATATGAAATATATTTCTTATTCGCTTATTATTATTTTATTTTTTTCGTTTTTTCGCGTCCGCTTTTGATCATTTATAATATAAAAAATAATATTGCTAATCTATATACGAATATATGAAATATACTTCTTATTCGCTTATTATTTTTTTTTTCTTTTTTTCGCGTCCGCTTTTGATCATTTATAATATAAAAAATATTATTTCTAATCTAATCTATATATGAATATATGAAATAACAGACTTCTTATTCGCTTATTTTTTTTGTTTGTTTTTTTGCGTTCGCATTTAATCATTTATAATATAAAAAATAATATTTCTAATCTATATATGAATATGTGAAATAACAGACTTCTTATTCGCTTATTATTTTTTTTGTTCGTTTTTTTGCGTCCGCTTTTGATCATTTATAATATTAAAAATAATATTTCTAATCTATATACGAATATATGAAATATACTTCTTATTCGCTTATTTTTTTTTTTTTCTTTTTTTCGCGCCCGCTTTTGATCATTTATAATATTAAAAATAATATTTCTAATCTATATACGAATATATGAAATATACTTCTTATTCGCTTATTTTTTTTTTTTTCTTTTTTTCGCGCCCGCTTTTGATCATTTATAATATAAAAAATAATATTTCTAATCTATATACGAATATATGAAATATACTTCTTATTCGCCTATTATTATTTTTTTTTTTTCGTTTTTTGCGTCCGCTTTTGATCATTTATAATATAAAAAATAATATTTCTAATCTATATACGAATATATGAAATATACTTCTTATTCGCTTATTATTTTTTTTTTTCGTTTTTTTGCGTCTGCTTACTATTTTATAATACCTAAATGTCTAAATAATCTAAAAAAGAAATGGCACATGTTGTGCTTTATTTTTAATATCGCATTTTATTAATAATAAAAGGGATAAAAGGATTAAATGATGCATCGCAATTTTTTATATCAATATAATCGCTATGATAAATCTCAATGGAAGAGTAAATCCTGTTTCATAATTATCGTTACTCTCTTTCCTCTCAATCATTATACTCTTCCAACTATCATATCGATAAATCCTACATCAATTCGAAACAAATCGGTTTAATTTTATTCTCACAGTCGAGAATATCTCAATATTTGTTCGATCTTTCAAGATTATCGCTCAACTTCAAAACTATCGCAATCACCAATCGATTAAGGTGAATGTCCCGATTTCTACTCAAGTTCCTATTTCTACTCACTATGAACACGTCTTATTAATATAAATATTCTGTTGGTATAGAATAAATTGCAAGAAGGTTAATTTTAAATCATTTATAATAATTCAAATTCTATCAATAGAATATTTATACTAATAAGACGTGTTCATAGTGAGTAGAAATAGGAACTTGAGTAGAAATCGGAACATTCACCTTCCCCGATCATTTTATTAATCGGAGCGAGCGCACGCTCGGCCGAAAGCATGGATTCGTACACGTGTCGTGTACAATGACATGTCAATCATTTCTCATCCATGCTTTCGTAATCTTCATCATCTGATTCTTGGCTAAAAGTTCTATCTTGACTAAAAGCAAATAAATGTAAAATCCTATCGGGTCTTCTACGTGTCAAATGGAGTATTCGGAACGGAGACATCTCAATCAGAAAGTCCTCGCTTAGAGAGTGTATGGTATGTAAAATGTCGCGCAACTCACGATTTCGCGACGGATGATGGGCGTTCCTGCTCCGGAGGGTATTCTGCAGGGTTACATACAGCTGATACATCAGCTGGTCCTCCGACGTCGTGTTCTCGTCGCCGTTGGGCAAAAATGGTATCGCCATGGTGCGTCTTCTCTCGTCTGTTCTACGCTCGATGAACAATCGCGTACAGCTGTAGCTCGAGTCCAAGCTACCTGCTCGTTATGGCCTGGCCCGAGATTGATGCACTGTAACCGAACCAAGCAATGTCTGTTGTTGAATTTCACTGTTCACTCTCTACGTCTCCACTTTTCAAAGACCCCCCCCCCGTCCTCCTCGATTGGAGTCTCTACCTGGTCTTGGTGTCGTGAGTCGTAAACGCGTTTCGAAATGCTACGCGTGAACAGTTACGAATTTACCGACGCACGGCTCTCAACTTTCGTTCAACATCCCGGATCGCACGTGGCACGCGCGCGGCGTGCTGCAGACTCCCGTAAACGTTGTCGTTCTACCTTTTTCAGACGATTCTCGGAACTAGATTTTTCTCGAAAGTCTGACGAAACTGTTCATGCATCGAACATTCTCGAGACAAAAAGGAAGGGGGGGAAAAAAAAGAAAAAAAAAAAGAAAGATCACTTTCGCTTCAAGGCAATCACCTGCAGAGAATCACGGAGATTTGAAACTTGTCCTTTGTCACGGTTGTTGATCGGCTGCTCGAATGCACTCTCGATGAAGCGCGTAGAATCGTCGTGACTCTTCAACAAGAAAGAAAATTCTGGAGCACGAACGCGTGATCGTCGTGTGTTCAATGTCCCCGCAGTTGTTCGGCCGACGGCTGCACCAGTTGGTTCACGTCACTCGTAAGGATGTAACACATACAGAGGGGGTCGACTGTGTCGGGTCGCCCTATGGCTTCGCGGATCACGAGAGTATCTCGCGCGAACGGCCACGTGAGCGGTGGTGGTCCGGAAAAATCTTCGGGATTGCACTGTAACCGATCAGAATTACAATTCGACAATTGCACGAGCTAATCAACACCGCTGGCCCACTTCGGCGCAAAATATATCACACGCGTGTATTTGAGCGGCGCGTCGTACCACAGGGAGCGGTGAGAAGACGAGAATACGAAGCGACACGAGATCTCGACTGAGCTCAGGATAAACGAGAAACACGTCTGTTCTCCTCGAGGTCTGGCGTGGTAATGATTCTGTGCTTTCACAGCCGCGGTCTGCACGTTCTGCCTGACGGCGGCAACCGGCTCTCTTCCCTCACTCCGTTCTACCCGCGCGACCGATTGGTCGTACGGAGGGGGTGCGTGCGCGCGCAGCCTATGACGAGGAAATAACCCGGTGGTGGGGGTAGCCCGAGTTTTCTTCGGGGTGGGGAACGCGCGAGGAGCGTGACAATACATTGTTTTACTCGTCTCGGACGCCGCGAGTGAGCTCCGTTTCAACGCTAACATTTACTGCAATCATGTTTTTGCAATCGTCAGACACCACGGCGTATCCACGCGTAGCATACGAAGAATACTCCAATATATCAAGATATTGTATCTTTAGACCGGAGAATGTTTGAGGACGTTATTAGTAAAATTATGAAAAAATATGAAATTCAAACAGTCCTCTTTTTCGTGTCCTACTTCTTTTTATCTCAATTTTATTAGAAATTTTTCAACGTATAATAAAATGTTCGGTAACATTTCTTTATGATTTTCGCTCTCTCGAATATTTCGTATGTTTTTTTTGCTGTAATTTTTCCATAGCTCTCCGTGCAGTGAACGTTAATACGAGAGCGATTCGGTCCGCGCTTGGAAGACGCAAGTGCAACTGAGTGGCGCGCGCGACACAGTCTCGGGACACAGCGGAGCGTGTAGCATGTAGCAATGGGATCTCGACGAGGGAGAGAGTGAGAGGCCACGCACACAAGCATACAGCGCTCTCGCGCGCACCTCGGAGCCGTAAAGGCGCGTATGACACGACAAAACGACACTCGAGCGCAACTGCGCAGTTTACGCGACCGAGTACAAGCTCCGCACGGGGGTGGGGGTGCAGCCACAAATCGGAAACGTTTACTTTACCATCGTTAAAATTAAACTCCCGAGAGAACTGGAAAAAACAAACGTTATCTTTACGCGAGATGTATCTTCGTCGCTCATTCTAATTTTCATAGTTCAATATTACTGATCTTTCAATTTTTTTTATACCATTAAAATTCTTCAATATTGCGAAATATTTAAATGAATACCGATTTGGATTCGTGTAAAGATAAACTAGAACGTCGGCGATAGTTTCTTGGATATTAGTGATAAATATTAACGCGAGATTAAAAACTTCGATATCACTCGTTTATAGGTGATAATAATAATAATAACAGACGCTCGAGCGATAATGAATATCAGTCTGCAGTGTCAAAGATCAATTTTATCGTTCGAACGACCACACGCCGAGTTAATGAGCTCGGACATACTTATAATTAATTAGGAACGGATGAGCGAAATAAACACGAGGCAACTTGCGCATGCTTAATCTCGAGATAATTCGCGACGATGCGAACAATGTTCGCTATACGTTCTTAGGTTCTTCTTTTTTTACACCCTCGATGAATGAACGAGAAAATGGAGGAACAAGAATAACAATACGTTGCCGTTGCGCGCGTTGATTCATGATGCACCGTGCGCGCCGCGGCTACACGAGACCGCGACTGCATAAATAAATATGAGCATATTGGCTTGCACGGTGGGCATGCGCGACGCGCGTGAAAAACGGAATCACACATTCAACGTGGATCGAGTCGTTGTATTATCGTTAACGTCGCTTTATCTATTATATTAGGTGTACAAAAAAGTTCTGAGCTTTTTTTTTTTTGTAAAATTCAATCTTTATTCGTGTGTAATCGTACGGAAATGGCTTGCTGCGTAACGCCAAGCTGTTCTGCAAGCTCCTTTTCAGTTTGCGCAGAGTTTATATCCAGCAGTGCTTGCGATTCGTCCGTTTCAATCTTTTTAGGGCGTCCAGCACGCGATTCGTCTTTAAGACTGAAATCTTCTTGGCGAAACTTTCGATACCATCTTTTACATGTAGCATGACTTACAGCAGCACAAATCATTGCAGTGGCTTCGGCAGCATTTTTCTTCAGACGAAACGCAAAGTGGATGGAAAATCGAATATGCTCTTTTGTTATTGCTATCGTGAACACTACTGATTTTTGAGGTTATGCGCATCAAACGCCAAACCGTATGGCATTTTAGAAGACCAAATGTTAGAGCTTTAAAACCGCAAAAGGGCGGGGAGATACATAAAATTTAAATTGTTATTTCGGTTGTATAAAATCTAAAGCTCAGAACTTTTTTGTACACCTGATACATAAAATTCGCGCAAATTTTAATCGCGCACTGTACGATGAAATTTAATTCAGGAATGTTTAACACGTTTGAGGATCGAGTGTCGCGCGCGCAAAAATGTATCACGCACTCTTCCCTTCGGTCTGTCATTAAAGATCCAATTTTAACACTTGAAAATACGGAAACGCAATTTCATTCGAGCAAGATTGCAGTTTTAATCAATCGACGGAAAAAACGGAATGCACTTCTCTTCTACGAACTCATTGATGCATAACGTAACGTCGTGCCGGCACAATGGAAGCGTGTTAAACAATCTCGAAAGCGTGAACGTGAGCACCACTTGAATCGATAGGCGATCGAGACGGGTCTCTTTGGTGTGTGCATGCGAGCGTGTGGGGAGAGAAAGTGAAAGATAAAGAGAGACAGGGAGAGAACAACAGATTAATGTCAGAAGTGGAGTGCATGGAGAGACGTTGTCATTGGATATCGGATGTGGGAGTTAAAGGCCAGGTGAATCTCAGCGCATCGGGGATGACGTTACAGAGAGATGACATTACCACTGTAGAACGTGGAAACCGGAGTCGCTGCGTGTGTTCGAGATGCGTGCGTCCTGGCCGATAGTTCGATGAAATGGCGATGTCGCTGTCGATGGATGCTTATATCAGCTCCTGTGCAAAAGATATCATATCATGTCAATATATATAGGTGTATACCTTCATTGATAATTTTGCGCGCGTAAATTTCAACGGAGGAGCCACAAACTATGAGACTTTCGCGGTGGATCGATACGCGAACTTGATCGCGCGACTTACAGAAATTGCTCGTTACGAGAGACGCCACTTCTACGAAGCCAATTGTCTTTAATGTACGTAAAAGTTAAAGAGGCGACTTTAGGAAGGGACGAGTTGATTGTGCCGTCATTGTACGAGAAGTCGATTCGCTTAACGAAGTTAAACCCAGTTGCGAGAACTTCGGAGAGTATTTTAATGCCATGTAATAATTTTTACGTGCAACGAGTTTTAGGAGATGTTAGAAAATAAGAGGACAATTCAATTTCGATATTACGAAATATTGCACAATATATGTAATAATACATTTTTAATTGTTGACAGATAAGCTATCATACCTTAATTAACAAGTATGTGTCTTTTATCATGAATAGATAAGTAATTAAAATATATTTTGCAATACATAAAAAGTAAAGTTGTTGTTTAATTTATTAAATGATTATTATATATGTTAACAAATGAAATATAAAATTTTAAAAATCGTTTAAATTAATTCTTAAAATAAATCTTTATTTCTATAACACACGTTACGACAAAATATGTCTTATCAGCTTTTGATAATCAATCTCATCAATTATACCCAAATGAAATTACTCTTTTCGAAATCTCTGATTAAATCTTTTTAGATCTGATATATCCTGCACTTTCGTATTCTTATCAACCTTTAATTTCCATATCGATCAATTTTATTTATAAAAATTCCATCATCGATGTTAGAATTAAAATTACATTACATTACACTCACCTCCTGTGAACTTGACTTTCAAGACAACCTAATAAATAAAATTCTCGGCGTTGCAATTTTCCGTCGTCGCGGAAAAATCATAATCGTACCTTGCCAAATCTATTAGACATGGATGCAAATGTCGGCTTAATAACCGCCTTCGAGCTCCGCGTAATTGGAGTCGCTGTCACGGGGACGACACTGGTCAACGTTCGATTAACGATCTCCGCGTTTAGCGATTAAACGATTCGCGATCTAGGAACGTCCGGCAAGCGACCCTTCCTTCCTGGTCTCTCGGCAACGGTGTCGCGTCGTTTTATTTCAATATTTAGCATCGCGTCGCGCAGCGCGACATCGGTCGCTGTCCGGTAGCGGCCGAGATTTAAAACCGGTAGCACCACGTATACGCGCGCCGTACTGGGGCCGTATATATTTTTAGAACGACCACCGCGATCGCGTGGGCGTATACGCTGGTCATCGGTCCGGGAACCTACGCTACTTAGTCTCAAATCGCACAAAATGCTCGAATCGGCGTAATTCTTCGCGATATAAGTCGCTTTCCGTTTAAGCCGTAATCACCCTAGCGATTGTGCGATTGGGAGTGACAATTCAGGATTACTTTTCAACCAGTTAGAGCAAAGCAGTGACTACTTCGCTCCGATTGGTTGAAAAGTAATCCTCAATTGTCAATCACGCAATCGCACAATCGCTAGGGTGATTACGGCTTTACTCCGATTCTCAG